TGAATATAATTCTGTTCAGGGCAAAAAGGGTGATTCAGACATAGGTCTAATGAGATTCTTTGTGGCAGAATTATACATCCTCACGAGTTCCATGAGTTTGTTTTGGGCACTTTGCCTTCATGTGTAGCTTGACAGGCACAGCAGTCCCACAAATTGTGTTTTAGGTATGTCCGCATGGCTCACAGAGATGCATTGCCTTGCTTAAGCCTCCATGAGTTAGTGGCAACGTTGCCCGGCTCTCCACACTATTCAGCCTTGGGATCAGAACTGGGCAATACCCTCAATCCCTTCTCTTTGGAGAGGACACCACATGACTTCTCACACAGATCCCAGTGGCCTGTGAGGAGGACACACGTACTGACTGCAGGTTAAAGTCAAAGATCATGAAGGTTCAGCAAGGGAGGAAAGCCTGTAGATGACAGGACGCCTTCGACGGTGTCCCCTAGAGATGGCTTTGGGCCACAGAATGGATTGGGTTTGCCCTGGTGGAGAGAGCTTCCACAAAGCAGTAGGAAGTGGGTGGGGCACAGCCAACAGGGTATACATCAGCAGGTTAATGCTGGAAATAAAATAAGAGTGTAAGGGTGGCCCTTGCAGCCAGAGGAGGACTGGCTGGCTTTCTCCTGTTCCTGACTTGCATAGTTGAAGAAAGACCAGAAGAAATACTCAGCATTCTAAGGGGAGCTCAGAATTTATGGATATAAAATCTGAGGGGATACTCCACAGTCTCTTTGGTCACGGATCTTTAGGGGATAAATCAGATGAAAGAGAACCTTATAGTTCTGTCTAGGAGGAGCTGGGACTCAGCTACTCCTTTTAATTTCAAGACAGAGGAAATTAAGGAAAGTTCCCTCAGCCTCCTTAGGCACGAAATGCATTGAGTTTCACAGCAGTACTTATGTGAAGCCAATCTGTAAACTATAAAGAGGAAGGAAGAGATTTGGTAATGAAAAGTTGGTAGAGAATGTGTAAATACACTGTATGAAGCATCTTATAGAATACACAACATCGTACAGTATTGTGAGGCTGACAAGGGGCCCGAGGACCGATGTTCGTCTATTTTACAAAGCATGCAGAGAGTTACAACTTCTTTTGGTATATGCTGAGTGACAATAGCAGGTTTTAGTATTTCATTCTTTGTGGGTTCTGTTCCAGAATATTTGCTCTTAAAGTGAAGACTAAGGGGGAAATAAGGATACAAAATATGCCTTAATATTTCCAAGGGAACTTTTCTAAACATCTCAAGTGGACATTGGTTAATACCAGAATATTGAAGGTGCATATAGATGTATCAGTGTGTTTAAAAAAATAAAATCTAGTATCTAATTTAAGAATGACTTCTCACTATAGTAATATCTAATTGGTAAGAGACATAACCGTAGTCTTTTCTAAGGTATTCTTGTAAGAATTTCGATCTTAAAGCTTATTTAAGCAACTTTAAATATCTGGGGTTTTTTTTGACTACAGAAATCAGTCAGGAAGGAGGGTTTATTTTTCTTTGGGTGGGTAAATATGAGAAGATGGACAGTGCATTAAAAAGTAAAGAGAAGGGCTTCTTCAAGCGGATTTACATATTGATTACTTAAATTACCACTTAATTTAGTGCCTGCTAATAAACTGTGCCTTGGAAATGTTTTCTGAACATTTATTGGCTGCAGTAATTCTACCTACAGTGTATGCGGATCACATCCTCATTAAATATTGATGCGCTCATGAAATGTTAATAGAATGTTAATGTGAAATACAAGGGAATGTGCTCGCTGGGAGCTGGGATCCCAGAGCCAGCTGAAAACTACCTGTCTCCTGTCTTTTCTTTATGCCTGTCTTCTCACTGTCGTGCTCCCCTCCCTGGCCCCCATTCGTCTTCCCATCATCGGGAGATTCAGATTTGCTTACTGATCTGGATGTCTCAAACATAGGATTTTTAAAAGAGATATATGATTCCCTGGTTGATGGGGACTTGGTTGTTCTCCCTTCTTGCTTTCCCTGAACTGAAATCCCTGGTTAGAACCAGGAAGGATTCCCTTAAGAGAAAGAGGGTGATTCAGACATGGGTCTAAGGAGATTCTTTGTGGCAGACCAGGCAGAGGAGATGAGGCTTTCCAGGACTCCAGCCATGGCCCTTCACTGCCTGCTAGGAGAAAGGGTGTAGTTGGAGTTCCCCTTCTGCTTTCTTGGAGAAAAATCAGCCCATAACATGTGCTACCTACCTAGAGAGATTGTAAGGAAGCATTTTTCATCATCCATCTCAAGGAGACTGAAGGCTGTGTTCATGATGATATTCGATGTATAATTATTCATGTGAGCGTACGTTACAAATGGTTGAAAAATCCCACGAAATGGCATAGTTCATCAGCAACTTGGATGATCATGAAGGCTGTGAAAACTGCTGGTGATACATCACGTAAAGTCAAGATCCAGCATGCCAGCTGTGAATGTGATCCGTAGGGTCAGGTAGAAGTGTCAAGTTGCAAGGAACATCCATAGATGGAAACAGTTCACTTTGTCATTAGAGTACTGCCAAATGTGTGTAATTGTGTGTGTGTGTGTGTGTGTGTGTGTGTGTGATTATTATGGTGTTTATACAGAAAATAATTGGAGCACATTTTTATTAAATTCCCACTCCTTTAGTTTTAAATAACTCAACCCTCTAATGAGCTGTCCTTATCACTCCTCTTTGTAATTACCCTGCCTGCCTCAATAAAACAGCTCTTGTGCTTACTTTTCCTTCACACCCACCCCCTCGGCTTTCTTTTTCCCTTCCTCCAAGTTGTCTTCTTTTGATCTCTCTTTCTTAAGGGCCTTCCCCTCCTTGCCTTCCTTGCTCCCTCTGGGTCTCTCCCCTACCATCTGGGCTTCCCTGCTCACTCTGCTCCAGACTGGCCCCTCCAGGTCTTGGAAGTTGCCCTGCACCAGGTCAAGTTCCTCTATGCTGTAGATCAGGCAGTGTGCTGGGCTGCCTGAAATGCACCCAGCTTCCCTCAGGCAACACTGACCTTGATCCTTCTATCTGCAGTGTTTTCTTTCTTACAGACCTTGACATAGCAAAGCTCCTTTTCTCATCTTTTGATTCTCAATAGTCAGAGAACCTCCTTTGATCATGTCATCTAAACTGTCTCCCTGAAGATTTCCCTGTCACTTTTTATCATAATTTTTTAAAAAAATTATGTTATTTTATTTTCATTAGCCCCTGTGATGACCTGTAGCTACCTCTTTTGTTTTTAATCTGTCTCACTTTAATTGTAATGAATACTCAGAGGTCAGGAATTTTACTTACCTGGTTCCTCATATGATGAGGCTCAGCTATCTTCCTGGTAAAATAAGAGGTACTTGATTAATATTGTTGATTAAGGGCTAGGGATGTTACCTCAGTGGTAGAACATTTGCCAAGTGTGTGTGAAGCCCTGGTTCTTTTCTCAGCTCTGAAAAAAAAAAACTGTGTGTGTGTGAGTGTGCATGCACACGCACACACACACATACATACAAACACATGTATAGTTGATCAAGTTGATCAAATACCATCCCCACCACTTTGCTACCCAGAATCTAGATAGGTGTCAGTTTGTTTTGTGTTACTATAGTGAAATACCTGATGCTGGATAACTTTGTACAATGAAAAAGATTTATTTTGCTCACAGTTCTAGAGGTTTCAGGTTAAGAACCTACATCTGGTGATGGCCTTCCTGCTGTCAGAGTTCTGAGGTGGTATAGCATATCACATGGCAAGAGAAAAGGAGCATACATGTGTGTCTTCTCTGATCTTGATCCCTTTTCTTATAAAGCTACCAGTATTCAGTCATGGGGCTCTACCCTAATGACCTTATCTAATCCTAATGACCTCCCAAAGGTCCATCTCTAAACATGGTCAGATTAAGTTTCCCTTTCTTAATACCTCATAGTGGGGATGAAATTTCAACATATGAAGCCTTAGGGGACACTAAAATTATGTCCACACCAGAGCAAAGGGGAAACAAAGGGATAGTCAGTCTCTGCAGAGCCTCACTGTGGAGGTACCAGGCAACTCTTGCTTACTGCAGAAGAGTTTCAGGAACAACTTTAGACATGAACAAATGGCGTATAAGACAGAGAAATAACTAGCCTTCTTGGGAATTTTTCCTTTTGTGACATGAATTAGAAGTTTAGTTACCTGAATGTTTTGTTGCTCTGTTCTGATCTTATTTAATCTATGTGTAGAATATTTCCCTTAAATTTAAGTGATGGGAACATATTGAGTTGCTTAAGGAAAGAGGAGAATTTCTTACATGAAATAAAGGATTTTCAGAGGAAGAACCAAGTAAACAAACCATGAGGCCAGGGAAGTAGCTCTGCTACAGGAATAAGTGGACCCCATGACCCAAATACTATTCTCATCTGTTTTTCTTTGCACTTGGGCTTCTTTTTCATTTTTTTTTTTTTTGCAGGCCAACATCTGGGTAACTTCTGACCTGACCGCCATCAGCTTAGGTGGACCAGTGTTTCCCCTTTTAGGAGATGGCTCAGGGAGGGACTTTGTTTGGTCCATTTTGTGTCACATGTCCTGCAGAAGTGGTTCAGTCAACTAATGCCAGGGGTGAGATCTTGCAAGAACACAGAAACTTCCACAGGAAATGTACAATTGAAACATAGGAATTGAAGCCACCGAAGATTTTGCTGTTTCCAAGAAAGGGAAGCTAGGACTGGAACGACAGGACTGTAGTATTGTCACTTAAGTGAAAAAAATCTTCATTGCACTGTTTTGAAAAATTCCCCACAGATACCTCTGTGCAAATGGAAACCAAGATGCAAAATATTTCCTGATTAAATCAGAGAGAGTTGTGAGAGATTTGGAAAACTTGAGAATTTAGGGTCCTGCATACTCAATGTTATGTGCTTTTTTTTTTGCCCTGGCCCTGACAATCTTAGTTTGGGGATCTGGAGCTCCTCTATTGGAATGGAGCCAGTGTTCTGGGTCTTTTCAGTCACTGACTTCCCTTTCTGACCTATATCCTTTTCCACTGCAGATCGTGCTGGAGAACAGTAGCCGAGAAGATAAGCATGAGTGTCCCTTTGGCCGCAGTAGTATAGAGCTGACCAAGATGCTGTGTGAGATATTGAAAGTGGGCGAGCTGCGTAAGTACTCTTGTTTGCCACCTGGCGGGAAGCTTGGCAGCACCCAGCTGCAGGTCCCCAACCTATGCAAAGAATCCCAAGGTGTTGACTGCTTCTCACGATCACTACTCTGGGTCAGTTATTCTTTGGCTCGGATTTACAGTGTATGCATTTCCACGTGTCTGTTCTGGATAGAAACATTGAAACCTATGAGAGTGGAGAATTTTGCAGATATTATGACTGAGTTTCAAATATGTTAAAAATGAATGTATATTATAGCAGTCTTGTTGCAGGTTAGGAAAATGTGGAACTCTTTTTTTTTTTTTAAATTCCAGTTCATAATCTACCAGTAGATCATTTTCTCTTCTTTCTTTCAAAACCATTTTTCTCTATAAAGAAAAATTAAATACCTTAATGAAATTCTCTTGCTCCTAGTGTTTCCGTTGTACAGAATACTTTCTCTAAGGGAAAAGGAGTTATTGAAGAAAATGGGTAGCTGCTACTGAAAAATATAGTCATAGATATACTTATGGCTCTTTTTCTTACTTATATTGTTAATTTTGCAAGAGGATGGCTGGAGAAAGAGGAGAGGCCAGTTTTCTTGTCTGTTGCTCATTGGCAAGATTTGGCTTTAGCCAATGAAGGTGGATATGACTTAACCTGTCCCCACTGTCATTGTCAATGTTGACATCCTTAAAGTGGCTGACTTCGACTCCCTCCCACATCTATGGAGCCAGCAAATTTATAAATCTTTGCTTTTAGCCTTAATAACATCAGTGCTGGAGAAGACTCTTTATATCAGGAAATCATTGGGGTGTTGGGTATTATTGGGAAAGCATAAATATGCAGTCTTCTGCTTGAGAGCTTAAAATAATGGTCTGGAATGATGAATGGGAAGGAATCCAATGATTAAATTGAAAAGAGGGGTGATCTTTATATACACTGTAGGACTGATTAAAGCTGCTGCTGAGATCAACTTAGAAAATTTATTACTTAGCAAAGGCTAAGAGTTTGAGTGTGTTTGACCAAGCAGAAGGCCTTGTCCCCCTCCAGTGAGGATGGGTCCTGAGAAGAAACTGACCTTTGATCTGGAACTGCATGAAGTTCATTACTTTTAGGTGACCCAGTCAGCGCATTTTCACATTATGATAGTAGCAACCTAACCTGGAGATTTCTGTATTAATCTGCTCTCATTTACTTTTTATCAGATGTTAAGATTTCAATCTTGGACATGAGTTATCTGTCCCACCCCCTAATTAAACTAGCTCCTGAGATCGCAGGCTGCAGTAATGCTTACTGTTTATTCAACTTAGGATGGAAGTCCTAAATCACACAAATCCCACTGGATCTATCCACCTGATCACTGTGACAATTTCATGTTTATCTCAATTTCAGAAGGGGGAATTGTTGAAAGTCCCTCGATTTAAAGCATCTCAAGCCCATCTGAAATTTTTTGGAACTGGGAAACAATCTGTTCTTCTAGGCTCTGATTTCTGGGTTCAAGTTGTTGCCCCTTTCTCTCACCAACCCTTCCCATCCTACCCAGTGACACTGTGGCTGTCTGCTGTCCTCTCGAGGGCAGCAGGAGGTACCCAGCTTTCTGCTCTTCTCCTTTTCCCTGTGGACATGTCTACCATAGTGATATGATGTAGAAGCAGGAGAATGTTGTTGGTGAAGAAAAGCTAAGTTCTCTCCTCTCTGCCATTTAGGACCATGTGTCTTTGGGGAAATTACTCACCAACCTCACTATCCTCTTACAGCCCCGGTTTTTCCCCAGGGCAAAATATCCAAAAATGGTTGGTCATATTTTGGGTGATGGTCTGGGTGTGTTGTCTTCATTTTGTGGCTAAGATCATGGAGTTAGCTGTGAGAAGATTCTCTTGAGGACAGATAATATGCAACCTGAAGGGATTGACTTGGAAAACATAGCCAATTTCCACAGTGTGCCTGGACAGAGTAAAGGCAGCCCTAATTTAGGCAGAGTTTTGGGTCTGTGGGTCTCTATCTGGTGGGCAGAGGAGAACCATGGTGGCAAGAGTCTGAGCCCTGTCTTCCTCCAGGTAGCACCTGCTGTGTGCCTAGGGTTGAGGTAGGTACAGAGTAGGGGACAGGATTTGACCCCTGGCAGGTATAGAGTAGCTCTCTTGGCCTTTTGAAGACTTGGTAGTCAATCCTAGAAGCAGGACAGAACCCCATTCCTCTAGACTGAGATAACAGAATGGAGATGGAGGCAAATGCTGTAGAGAGTGCCAGAGGTGATGGAGATGCTCTTCTTGCACTGTAGCTTACTCTATATCCCACCTTCTGGTGAAGAGAAAGTCCCTAACATTCTGCCACAACTCACGCAGCATCTGGTCAAGCTGGTGTCTACAGTCAGGCTGGGTCCTGGTCTTGTCAGGCCAGTTTGCTTTCATCTAAAACAACAAATGCATTTATTCATTTATTCAATAAAAATCTACTCAACACTTAAAATGTGCCAGGAGCACATGGTGTACATATGAACCAGATATAGTGCCTGTCCCCCCAGGAGCTTCTATAATGTCTTAGATTTCAGAAAGTGGAGGAATGAGTTGGAACTGATACTTTTTCCTGTGAGTTGAATACATTATATTTTAAAATAAATGCCTAAATGTTTGCCTATTCTAAAACATAATTTTCTCAATGTTTTGAACTTTGAAGTTCAAGTTTCCAGTTTGACCTTTTTCTTACCAGCATCTGTAAAGGCCATTCAGGATATTTTTCAAGGCTTACAAAAAACTTTCACGTTTCTGGAGTCTACTTGCCCAAATGAGTTGTTTTCTGCTCATAAAATATTAAAAGATTGCCACATTCTGATTGAATGCTAGACATCAAATGATAAAACACCCCATGGTAAGAGGAAAATTGCTTTTTTAATAGATTGCTTTTTGCCCATTGCCATATTAAATAAGTTACTAATATGAAAAACAAATCTGAATGCACCCTTATGTTGAAGGAGATATCTATTTTTCTTCTGAGGAAAATTAGTTTCACACACAAGTTTATCTTCCTTTGGTTTGCATGCATCTATTTTTTCTCATTCCTAAGTTTGTGGTTCAGAGCACTATTCAGATTTGTGTTAATAATTGACCTCGAAGACCAGGGTCAGTTTAGTTCTTTAACTAACCACTGAGACCAAAGAAGCATGCAATTAAAAATCCAATTGGTTGAAAAAAAAAAAAAGAATGTTTACAAAAGTACAAAGATTCAATTTTCTAGAAATGGATTCTCTTGATTTTAGTTTTAGGTCTCTTGAAATACCAATTATATTTTGGCATCCAAAACAAACATATTAATGTTCAATTAAGTTACTTATACCAAATATTTATGTATTTTTAAAGGTTCCCTTAAAAATCACTATTTTTCTGCTTCCCAATTATTGATGTTGCAAGAGGCAAATATTATCTCTAACAGTGTGGTCTAAAATAATGTCTATTTATATTCTTAGAGCACTTTATCAAGGTTATTTAACTGAAGTCTGTAGAACCCCCAGGAGTTAATTAAGATCAATACCATCTATGTTTATTAATGAAGGGAAGACCTGCACTAACTGCATTCTGTCTAAAGTCACTGAGCTCAAACTGGTGTTGAGAATACCCGAGTAGGAAGAAGCTGAGTGGTAGTATTTGGACATCCTGAATAATCCATCTTTGAATGACAGCCCAGCTCCTAATTGGATGCCTTGGGTACATTGACCTTCTGTTCTGAGCTTCTGATTCTTTATCTATAAAATAAAGATCATACCTTTCATGCATTTGATGGGAGGCTTGAGAGAATGGATATTGCCTTTAGAAAATGGGTAGTTATTTTGTTTTTGTTTTGCTTTGATTTTTTTTTTTTTTTTTTTTTTTGCACGATAGAATTTTACTTTCTATGAGTAAACTGCAGGTTTAATGAGGTGGGGAACGTGTTCCCACATAAGTGGCAGCTGGAACCAGGACCTGGAACAATATCCCTCTCTACATACTGGCAAAAATTTAGTATAATTGGTCCTCCATGTCCCTGGATTTTGAATCCATAGATTAACCAACTGTGGATTGAAGAATTTGGAAAAAAATTGAATCTATACTGAACATGTAGCTAACATGTTTTTCTTGTCATTTTTCTGTAACCAATATAGTATAGCAATCACCTACATAGTATTTACATTGTATTATGTATTGGAAGTTATCTAGAGATGATTAAAGTATAAAGGCAGGAATGATATTGGCCAAATTATGTTGTTATATTATGTGCATGTATGAATATGTAACAATGGATTCCACCATTAGGCATAATTGTATAGAAACAATATTTTAAATTTTAAAAGTATGAGGGAAGATTTGTAGGATATATAAAATACTACATTATTTTATGCAAGGAACTTGAGCATCTATGGATTTTCATAACCTCTGGGGGTACTGGAATTGATACCCTGTAGAACCCAAGGACAACTGTGTTCTTTTTAGCCTGCTTTTTCAATAAGGTTCTTTTGAAAGCAAGGCCTATGTTTTCCCTCTGTTTCAATTCTAAAAGTTGGCAATTCACAAAAGAATTCTTAGAGACCCTGTTGTGCTCACAAATCCCCATAGCCTGCGTTGTATAATGGGCAGCCCCAGTTAGGAGAATAAGAGTGAAGGAGAAGAAGCGAGTCTTCAAAAGAAGGGTTATATTTGTCAGTGTGGAGTCAGTGAGGGTGGAGGGAGGCAGGCGGTGGTGCCTCAGAGAAGAGAGGAATCACTTGGACATATCCAGATGCTCATTACAGATCTGAAATCCTTAAAAAGATACCCAACTTCTAGCAGAGGATAAAAAAGAGTCTTTGATTTTGTTATTATTACATTCATGCCCCAAGACATAATAAATTTTTGACAGATGCAAGGAAAAATTGATTTCTGATACAAACAGGTTAATTATCTTTTGAATATATAGCACCTTACTCCAACTATATTCCAGTGTGGGTAGAGGAAGGATCTGTCTGTCTCTGTCTTGCAATCATTCAGTAACTATAGGGCTTCTTCTTT